TTCTGTACCCCACTTTTTAATTGGATTATTTGGTATTTTGGAAACTAGTTTCTTGAGTTCTTTGTAAATTTTGGAGATCAGCCCTTTGTCAGATGTGGGGGTTGGTGAATATATTTTGTCTTGCTGACTGTGTTCTTTGCCTTGCAGAAGCTTCTCCGTTTCAGGAGGCCCCCATAATAGAGGGAGCCATTATAGGTTTAAAGAGAAATCAGGCACTAAGGAAATGTCCAGAGATCTACAAGGATGACACCCACTAACAATCTAAGCAACAGAGGAGAGGCTACCTTAAATGCCCACCCCTGATAATGAGATTGATGACTGCCTTATCTCCCATCCTAGAGCCTTCATTCAGCAGCTCATGGAAGTAGAGGCAGACACCCACAGCTAAACTCTGGAATCCAGTTGCAGAGGGGGAGGAGTGATGAGCAAAGGGGTCCAGCCCAGTCTGGTGAAACTCACAGAAACAGCTGACCTGAACAAGGGGGAACTCTTGGTCTGCAGACTGATAGCTGGGAAACCAGCATGGGACTGATCCAGACCCACTGAATGTGGGTGTCAGTTAGGAGTCCTCGGAAATCTATGGGGCCTCTTGTAGTAGATCAGTACTTATCCCTAGCATAGGAATGGGCATTGGGAGCCCATTCCACATAGAGGAATACTCCCTCAGCCTAGACACATGGGGAAGGGACTAGGCCTTATCCCAAAGGATATGACAGACTCTGAAGACCCCCTTGGAAGGCCTTACCCTGCAGAAAGGGTATGGGATAGGTAGGGTGTTAGTGGGGGGCAGGGGAGGAAGAGAGAGAATTGAGATTGACATGTAAAACAATCTTGTTTCTAATTTAAATTAAATATGGAAAAAAAAGAAAGGGTAGGACCTAGCCCAAATTTACACTAGCCAGGTAGGCAGGAGATCAATCATGCACAGCTAGGCTCTATTAAGTAATATATTCTTTTTTACCCTGTGAGTAAAGGAAAAGGAAAACATTAAAGGGACCCCAGGGAGAGAGAGAGACAGCAAAATTGTGTATATGAGACACAATCATATTTATATTTTCAAATGTTCATTCTTGTTGCATCTGAGATGGATTGGAAGGCACCCAAGAGTAGTGGTAGAGACTTCCCATTAACTAAGGAGTGCTGAGAGTGGGAGAAACTCTCTTCTCCAGGGAAGAACACACCAATTGGTTATCCAGTAGCAAATGGTCATCCCTGAACACATATATCTACAGGTAACATTACACAGACTGAGCATATTATATTTAAGAAATATATATATATATATATATATATATATGTGTGTGTGTGTGTGTGTGTGTGTGTGTGTGTGAAAAGAATTAGTGAGAAAGAGGCCATAAATGTGAAAGAGAGCAAGGAGGGGTATATGGGAGTCTTTGAAAGGAATAAAATGAAGGGAGAAACAATT